CCTGCGGGAAGTGGGCGCCAGGACGGGACCGGGTGTCGGGGACTTTCCTAGGGGCTGGCGGGAGGGGAGCCCAGAGCGCCTGGGCCAGGGCCAGGGCCAGGCGTCATGCACGGCCGACCCCAGGGAGGGAGGCAGGCAGGCAGCCTAGCCGGTCCTCGCCAAGGGAGATGGCCGGTGAGCCCCGCGTCCAAAGCTCCCGCACAGGGGCCCGGTCCTCCCGGGAACCCACCTGCGCTCCTGTCCGCGTCTCTCCCAGTCACCGAGGGAGCAGCGAGGTGGGGAGTGCATCTCGGAGCACAGCAGCCCGGGTCCTGGGCCAGGTAAGCTCTGAGAGCTGGAGGTGATTGGAAATCCGCGAGGGAGGTCGTCCAGCTGCCGACAGTGTAAAGGCCAAGGGCATCAACCTGCCCACACGTGGATTTTAAAGGAAGGCCCCGGGTTTGCTGTGAGCAGACAGACCTGGCTCTCCACCTCCCCTGGCCCCGGCCTGTGCGCTGACGGAGCTGGTGACCGGCCCCTTCCAGCTGCAGGGCCTCCCCGGCCCCTCCACAGGTGCAACAGGCTCCCCTGGGAAACACCTCCCGCTCCACGCCCCTTCAATGCTCAACTCCAGCATCACCTCCACGTAGCTCTCCCCTTAGCAAGCTGCTTACTTCTGCCACGGACCTACCGCACTGGGGGCTTTTTTGTAAGTGTTCACTATGCTCCTTGTATTGCATTTTTTCACACTTTTAAAATGATTATTTTTTTCTTACTTCATATACAGGTAATATGTTCATAGCACAAACCTGGAAAAATACTTATAGCCCAAATGTCTCCAGCTCCCCAGGCTCCCAGGGACATGTTCCCCTGACAGCCAAAAAATCAGAGCCTGAGTCTCCCATCCCATGTGTATCAACCAAGGTCCAATCAGGAGAGAGAAACCACACAGCAATTAAACAGTGAACGTTTAATATAAAATGGGATTTGGAGCAATGACGGATTGACTAGTAAGAAGTAAAGAGAACTCAAAAGAAAATAGGAAAATCAGATATAAGGGTTTAAAGAGCAGCCACTGCCCCTAGGGCTGAGCTGCAGCACCCAAGGATCAGAATCCCCCTCCCTCAGGCTGAGCCCCAGACCCTGCTGGGGACCGCATGGCCATGGCTCATTAAATGCTAGAAAAGTCATTGTGGTATCATGCCAGTGGGACTTGCTGGAAATCCACCCTCTGAAACTTGCTGATAACCTACCCGCTAGTGAGTGGGGAAAGCTGCTCACAGGGAGGTGTCGGTTGGGAGCAAGTAGGTGTCCAGAGAAGCTGGTGGCCACAGTGCTGCTGGCTGCCCTGCACTGTAGGATTCTGGTGCTGGAGAAACTAGCCAAGTCTGAGCATGGTGACCAGCAGGCAGAGCCCTGTCTTCCTTCCCTATTTCCCCCACACCCCCTACTGACGAAGCTTACAGCAGCCAGCTGGCGAAGGAAACTATATAAGGGGCCCCGATCCATTTTTACAGAGAAAAACAGAAAGGATGCATTTGGAGCAGACCTCAGTGAGTTGAGAACGGCAGACCGTGTCACTCAGAAATTTCAGGCACTGTCCAGGTTCCCCTCCCAAAATATACCTGCATGTTCCAAATGAATACGACCGTTTCTGCAAATCTCTCCTTGCTGGCACTGACCCTCAGCTGGCCATTTTGTGCCCGACTCCCACTCCTTCTACTACAAGTTGTCTCTTGGCATGTCCCCCAACAGCTTTGCCCAAGTGAAATCACGGACTCCTCTTCGTATCCAGTTCCTGCCAGCACCCTATGGCCAAGCTGTGAGGGGCAACAAGACTTAACAGAAGGCTTGGGAAACGGAAGGAAATTATGGAGGGGAAAAGAAAAAAGGTAAAACTAAATAATGGGCCCAGCCGGCGTCGCTCAGTGGTTGAACGTTGACCCATGAACCAGGAGATGGAGGTTGGTTCCCGGTCAGGGCATGTGCCCGGCTTGCAGGCTCAGTCCCCAGTAGGGGGCATGCAGGAGGCAGCCGATCAGTGACTCTCATCATTGATGTTTCTATCTCTCCCTCTCCCTTCCTCTCTGAAATCAATAAAAACTCATTTTTAAAAAAATAAAACTAAATAATGGTCCCTAAAATGCAAAACCATCTATAGGGCTCCCTACAGGGTGTCCCTCTCCTTACCCCGAGCCCCATACAGGGAACCGGTGTGTCCTCTCCACAGAGTCCAGGCTGTACTTCGATCGGGGTCTAGCAAGAGAGAGACAGTTTCTCCTTGACCTCAATCTTGGGCGAAATCCATTAAGTAAAAAATCACTGTGGGGATGCAGCTCTGTCTACAGTAAAGATGAACATTCACATTTTGCTAGGAAGAGGAAAGGCATAGGAACGAAGTGGCGAGAGGAGGCCAAGGAACAAACGAGCGCCAGTCATGCCTGCTCTTGCAGGCATGTTAAGAATTTTGGATTTTACCCTTAGGACAATGAGAACCCTCTGAGGGGTTTTACGCCGCCATCTGGCCAGAGGGTGGAGAGCAGACTGGAGGGTGCATTTGGGGAGAACACAGGCAGCTAGTGTTCAGAGCAGGGCTGGACCCAGAGACAGGGACTGAGAAATGACTGGCATGTTGGGAGAGTGTACGAGCCCTGGGGAAGGCCGCAGTGCCCAAGGTCAAGCCTGTAGAGTGAGAAGGGATGGGACCCTCGCAAGGTGCGGTTGGGTCAGCGGAGGGAACAGGCGGAGAGCCAGGGAGACGGGGGACAGTCCGGAAGTGATGCGGGTTCGTCCGTCCTCATTAGAGAGCAGGACCGGCTTCTCTAGGATAATCAGAGGCCAATTAGAGCACATCTACTCCCAAAGAGGAGCCGAAATCTCCACTTGCGGCAGAGCCATCAAAGCTATTCAGCTACAGTGTCCTGCTATTTTCTAAAAAGTTAAAAACAGCCCTAGCTGGGTAGCTCAGTTGGTTCGAGCATCGTCCTGATACACCAAGGTTGTGGGTTCGATCCTCAGTCAGGGCACATAAAAGAATCAACCAATGAAAGAATGCATAAATATGTGGAACAACAAATTGATGTTTCTCTCTCTCTCTTTTCCTTTCTCTCTAAAATCAACCAGTTAATCAATATATAAATTTTAAGTTAAAAATAATATTAAGAAATAACCATTTTTTCATATTCTCTTGCAGAATCTTCATCCGAAAATTACCCAAATCTAAACTCCTCGAGGGAAAGGATCATGCCCAATTCACCCTTTTATCCCCAGAAACTCAGGACATTTCCAGGCACATACAAGGTGCCTAGCGATGTCTGTGGATTGAATTTTGTCTCCAGAATCGTTCTGGGACCATGTAGTATTTCGTTGGGTTTTCTGGTAGCAGGACACTGAGACACTGAACTGACATCTTCCCTCCCCACCCCCACCCTCCCAGGATCTACCTGAAAAAAAAGTTTACTTAAAATCTCCATCTCACTTTTGGTAAATTCTTTTTTAAGTTGTGGCATTTTTTTCTCTGTTTCCCCCGCCGGAGAGAAAAGAGTTTTCCTGCCCTGTAAACTCTGCCTTAGCCTGGGCCCGCCAACTACAGCACTGCCAGCACTGCCACACACAGTGGCAATGGGGGTCCCGGATGACTGCACGTGACACCCATCTGCACCAAGCCCAAGTGCAGTTTTACAGCCTCACGGCGGGTGCAACGAGGATTCCAGCAGTGGTTACTCCCACGAAGTGCTTGTGTGTTATTTCACCCCCCTAACGCTCACCCGCTCACACAGGCTCCCGCCCAGCGCCCCTGACCCAGTAAACAGGTGGAGACCACGCTGAGTCCAGTCCAGCATCTCTCCAGCGAAGGCAGGCAAATCTGCCGGTGGGCCAGGCTGGTTTTGGAGAAGCCGAGACCTCCAGAGGACAGCCTTTTCAGGGAAGGCCATATCTCTCCTTCCTGAAGATTGCTCGGCCAAATACAGATGGGTCTTGCAGCGGCCATGCAGGAACTTGCACGATTCGCTTCGTTGCATTTTTCAAAGTCCTGAAAGAGAGAAGGTGATAGGCCTGATTACAATACCAAAATGCTGCACTGAACCCCAAAACCCGGATCCACCCTCCACTGGATCCACCTTCAAACCCTCTGCTTGTGTGCATGGTGTATGGCTGACAGATAGAACCCTCTGCACGTGTGCATGGTGTATGGCTGACAGGTAGAACCCTCTGCACGTGGGCATGGTGTATGGC